CTGACCCTTCCAAAAATTCTATTAGAAAGCTCATCAATAGTACCCAGAAAAAAAAAAAGAGTACAAGGAAAATCGTGACTACAGCAGGAACCAGAGGTAGGAGGAACGGGGTCAGAACACATAGATGCTGCAGAACAAATACTCAGTGGTGATAGCATTGAAAAGAGGATAAACATAAAGCAACAAAATAGGAGACTAACACCCAAGAGTGGCTGAGATTAGTACCAGGAGTTTTGCTTCATGGCTTGGAGGCCAGCCACACATGCTAGGGGAAAAGGGAGCTCAGATAGAGAAGGGAGCACCAAACAAAGGGTGTTGGGAGGATCCTCTCAGGATGGGAGAAGCATGCTGAAAGTAGACCATAGACCAAACATGATTGCCACTCAATGCCTCTTTTGCAAACCACAACACCCAAAAGGAGAGAGAGAGCAAAAGGGAATGCCCTGCCACAGAGGGTGGGATGGACGAGGGGGGGGATACTCAGACCCGTGGTGGTGGAAAATGGGCACTGGTGGAGGGACGGGTGTTTGACCATTGTACAATTGAAAGCCAAGCACAAAAATTTGTAAATCTACAACTGTACCTCATGGTATTTCACTAACAATTTTTTTTTAAAAAATGTAAAGAAAAAAAGAAAAAAATGTAAATGATGGAGAATGGGCACTGGTAGAGGGATGGGTACTTGATCATTGTATAACTGAAACCCAAGCACAAAAATTTGTAAGTCTACAACTCTGCCTCATGGTGTTTCACTAATAAAAACACAAAATACTTGGGAATGTATACACTTGGAGTGCCTTAAATTACATAAAACCACACTTACTGCACAGGTGTTCCTAGTTGCGAGTGAGTGAAATTCAGAGAGGTACCTGCCATGAAGCAGACTAAAAAGTGAGAAGTTTCTCCCTTCCTTTTGGACTAGGGCAAGCAGCCCCCACACCCAAACTCTGACACAGCAAGAGGCCCAGCGCCATAACTCCTAAGCTCTGCGTGATAGCACCTCCTAATTTTACACTACTCAGCACCAGAGGGGCACAGCACCCCAAGAGGGAAGAAGTGTGCAATTCCGGCAAGCTCAGTGAGCGCAAACAAGAACACAGGCAGCACCAACCAGCTCAGAAATTCCTCAGACAATGACTTCAGTGACACCATTGTGAGGACATTTAAAGAGATCAAAGATACAATGGCACAGGTCGTTGGCAAAGGCAGCAGTGCAGAAGAAAGAATGAGTACTGAGATGAGAAAACTGCAAACAGAAATGAAGAGCATGGTAGGTGATTTGAAACATTCAACAGAAGCTCTGAACCCAGATCAACAAGAGTAAAAGATCAAGGAGCTCCAAGAAGAGATGAAGTTAACTGCTATAAAACAGCAAAAGGTAGGAAATAACTCTGAAAAGAAATAAACAGCAAACGAGAGAATGAGCTGTGGAATGAGTCCAAGAAGAACAATAGAAGAACCATCAGTATCTCTGAAGAATACGCAGGCAAACCGGATGAAACAACAGTATTTAAAGAAATTATAGACAGGAATTTCCTCAACTTAAAAGGGTTACAGGGATTTACATCCAAGAGGCACTAAAGGTTCCAGGAAAAAAGACCCAACCAGAAAATCATCAAGGCACTCTGTACTCAAAACAAACAATTCTGAAGGCAGAGAGAATATTGAATTGCAGCAAGTAAATGCACATATAAAGTATTTAAATGCATATGTAAAGCAACTGACATATAAAAGAGAACCCAGAAGCTTCACAGCAGACCTATCAAAGGAGATTCTAGGAGACAGGAATGAGCCAAAAACTCAATGGCAGGAACAGGCTACCAAGAACAGTCTATCTAGCTAGACCATCATTCAGGTGTGATGGGATGATACAGAGCTTCAGGGGCAGGTAACACTCAGGAAACTCAAAGCCTTGAAACCAGTTCTACAAGAAGCATTAAAAAGAGTTTCTTTAAAGGACGGGACAAACTTCTCAGTATGTGGTTTGAGTATGGCCTTTGCTTGTGGTGCTTATAGTATTCCTCAATTAAATTAAGGAAGGTATATTTACCCCTCACTTGCTAAGGAATTTTATACATTTTTAATAATAAACCAATGTCTCTTTTACAATGAATATGCTATCTATCTTATTAGTCTTCTCAACACTTCCTTTCCTAGGATAAAACATTTTGTACTTTTAAAGGCCCAGTTAGATTTTCCCTTTTAGATTTTCTTAATTCTCTGCACACTTAGTAAGTTTTACAGTTGTCGGCTTTACCTATTTATCATATAATAATAATAAAAACAATATTTAGTATTAAATATAATATATTACCTACATATTATATTAGCTAAAATATATTAGCGAAGGATTTAAAATGTAGATGTATTAATGACAGAAGACAGGACTATGACCATACTAAGACACAAGTAGAAAATAAAAGTTAATGCAATTATTTTAGATAATAGAGCTAAAAACTTATCTATGTAAACAAGAGTAGGCATTATACTAGTCATGGTCACCCCGTTGTTCATCGATTTGCTCGAGCGGGCCCAGTAACGTCTCCATCATGAGACTTGTTGTTACTGTGTCTGGCATATTGAATACGTCACGGGGAGCTTGCCAGGCTCTGCCGAGCGGGCGAGATACTCTCAGTAGCTTGCCGGGCTCTCCGAGAAGGGCGGAGGAATCGAACTCAGGTTGGCCCTATTGGCTGTGTGCAAGGCAAATGCCCTACCGCTTTGTATTGTAATAAATGGTTTTTACTTTATTTACATGGGTTAATATCATGGAGCAATCGATGATCACAAATTGATAGTTATTCAGTTATTTTCTGATAATTGCACTTGCCATTCCACTATGTTTTCTTGAAGGAAGTAATATGAAATAAATTTGCTTGGGGAAAGTTGGGGGTGGGGGAGGGAAACTGAGGCACTGGCTGAGGGGCGTCATGGAACATCATATGCCTGAAGCAACTGCCTTTGGAATAATAAAATCATGGTGATAATAAACATACATTAAGATTTTGTTTATTTGTTTGTGGGCCACACCCAGCGATGCTCAGGGGTTATTCCTAGCTCTGCACTGAGGAACTGCTCCTGGCCAAGCTGGGGAAACTATATGGGATGCCAGAGACTGAACTCGGGCAGGCGACACTCAAGGCCAGGGCCTTAGTCCTGGTATAGTGCCAGCCCCCAAGAAATATTTTAAGTAAGCAATTCCTTTTGGGAATTGCTTTCTTTCTTTTTTTTTGTCTTCAGGTTAGGGGCCACACATGGGAATCTCTCCTGGTGGGTAGAAGCACCCTATGCAGTGTCAGGAATCAAAATCGGGTTGGCCACATGCAAGGCAAGCATTTCATTGGATTTTCCCCATCACCCATCTCTCCATTTCCAGTTTTGGAAAGACTAGACTTGACAGGAGTAATCCTCAGAGTGAATGCAGGCCTGATTTGGGGGTTCTACCACGCAGTTTGTGGGGTGCTGAGATTCAGCTGCCCCTCACATCTGAAAGCCTCAGCATGGTACGATTCCAGACATCATTGTGGTCTCAGGCCAGCATAATGAATTTTCCAGTCCATCAGCCAAAAGTAATTACCTTGTTAAAAAATGCTCACCAAATCAGGATTTCAGGGATCTGGTCAATATGCTGTCCTTCCTGTCTTGAATAAAATTAAGCAGGGGGAAAACAGTCTAACAAAAGAAAAAAAAATGATAGCCTTGGGCACCGCAGATTAATCAATGAGTGTCACTATAATTACCATCGTCTAGGTCATCAGTTCCTGGTTTCCTACCTCCTCCGCACTCAGCCTGCTCAGGTTCTGTTGGGCTTTGGCTGGTAGCTCTGGGAGGTGGGGTTTGCGGATTCCAATTAATAACAGCAGAATAGAACGCTTGCCACTAAAGTGTCAAGACACTTTTCTAAAGCGTATTACAAATATGATCTTTTTTTTTATGCCTATGACCAGTTCATAACATAGGTATTTTATTTCCATTTCCCAAAGGCAGGAACAAGCCCTAAGAAATTAAGTAACTGGCCCAAGGACACAGACCTAACAAAAACCTTTAAGTCACATACAGATCTGCAGTAAACTTTATCCCCAAAGTCCAGCGCGTAAAGTCATCGCTCTGTGATCTGAAACCACACCGCTCTCATCTCAACCCTGAGGCTATCGACACTCCTATAACCCGGTAAATTACTCCACGGAAGTTCCCCCCGAGTACGCAAGAGGATGCCAATGTCACTTAAAACTCGTGGTCATGAGCACTCAACAAATCAGGAAACTGTCTACCAGTGCCCGTTGAAGGGCCTGCCGGGGGTAATCGCTATATTCAACATCTGATCCCGTCATCGAGGCAGTCGCTTACAGGGAATATTAAGGCCACGTGAAAATTAGGGATCACCTGGCGCAGAGTCAAAGGTCGGCTCTGCCGGGTCTCCCGGGGAACTGCACCGAAGAAGGAGGCGACTTGCACTTCCTCCACGCCCCGGAGGAAGTGCACGCACCCACAGCAACCGGGAGCAAAACGAATTTCGGGGACTGGGGCTGGAGCTGCTCGCAGGACGCCGGTTCTTCCCCTGCCTCGACTCCCCCGATATGTGCTCCACGTCCTCCCACCCCACCTGCGACTGCTCCTAGAACTCCCACGCCGCTCCCGGGGCTAAACGTTCCTTCCCTCCACCCGGGGCGTGGCGTGGCTCGCGGCCCGGCGGGGTCGGGGCTGGGTGGCTGTGCCCGGGTGGGCGCGACCCGCTTCCCTGGGTGGGGCCGGCAGATCGGAGGGAGGGGAGCCCGGAACCCACCCCCATCCCCGGAGGCCGCGGCCCCACCCGCCGCCCCTCTGCAAAACCTCGGGCCCAGGCGCGTCGAGCTCGGGCGTCGCTCCCTGCACCCGGGCCGAGCTCGCCCTGAGGGGCCCCGACCACCCCTCCCCGGACGATCGGCGGCTCGTTCCGTTCGGGGAAGACAACAGGGAGCGCCACCCCGGTCCCCCGAAGCAAGGACAGGGCGCTCACTCACGTCCTGGCGCCGGGGCTGGAAGTCGGGCAGGGAAGCGCTGAGACGCCCGAGCAGCGCAGGAACTGCACCAACCTTCGGCAGCGGCGGGCAGAGGGGCGCGGCGGGGCGGGCCAGAGGGAGGCCCGGCCCCGCCGCGCCCCGAGCACGTTTCCGAGAGGTCCTGGGCGAGGAAGACACTCCACCCCCATCCCCCGGGGCCCGCGCCCTCCCACTGGACGTCTGGGGTCGAAGCACAACTTGGTGAATCCAAAGCGAGTCGTGAGTTATAAAGAGAGAAGGACGTGACCCGGGGGAATGCGTGTCAGCCCCGAACCAGGAAACAAACGCTCAGCATCGCAGCGGGGGGGATGCACCCCAAACTCCCAGCGCTCGCCAAGCGCCAAGTCCGCCTGAGTTCCACCCACCCACCGCTGTGGGTCACGCCCTTAACGCCGCCCGTTCCCTGCTTTTTTGCAAAATGAGAAAACTGCGGCTGAGTCGTTTGGATTTGGGGTGTTTTGAATCTGAGTAGTTTGAATCTGGCCTTTTGGGGCGAGGGGCAAGGGGCGGGGGGCACTCCGCAGGGTGCTCAACTTCCTTTTTTTAAATTTTTTTTTAAATTTACTTTTTGATGTTAGGGCGATTCTCAGGAGTTGCTACTGACTCTGATCTCAGGAGTTATTCCTGGTGATGCTCAGGCGACCCTAGGGGATGTCGGGGATTGAACCCAGGTCGGGCAGACCCAGGGTAACAAACGCTCTACCCACTGTGCTACCCACTCAGCCCCTTGCAAGACAATTCTTAATCCCCGTACTATCTCTCCAACCCTGAGTAGTTTGAATTTAGGTAGGTAAGTAGTAGCCTACTTAAAGTCTCAGATTCTAAGTGAACCATGAGCTTAAGCTCGGTATCTATTTGATGATACTTGATATTAAACTACTATAAAACAATTACCATATTTGCAAACAGAGGACTTCTTCCCCAGAGATATTGGAACAAAATTAAAATGTAGCTACACGGACAGGGGTGGGGGTGAGGAGGATGCCATAAGCCTGACAAAACTTTAGTATGTTGGGAATTTCAAACTGTTTCAAAAATTGAAAAAAAAATATAGTCAAAGAATAACTGTTTACAGATAAATTGAAAATAAAACAAAGAAACAGACATCCATCACTCTTACCATGTAAGCTCATCCACCGGCCTTGTCCCAGAGTCTCATAAATAAAACTCAAAAGAGACAACTAGCCGCAAAATTTTCTCAGAGACCCATTCCTGGCTGAGTCCTCCTGGTGGGTCTCTGGAGGTCACACCAAGTTCTTGCCCTGACAGTCACACTCATGCCCCAAAGCCACCGCCACACCGCCAGCCAAACTGCCCAGTCAAATATTTGGGATTTTCTGTAGCATTGCAGCAAATGTAAACATCTCCAAATTCTACAATAGCACATTGGATTGGATGGGAATATGACAGAGAAGATGTCTCCTAAAGGATGAATAAAGAACCAAAAAAAAAATTAAATGAAAGATTTCAGGATAGCTATAAATATCATGAAGAAAGATATAGCAGAGTAGGGAGGGCACTTGCCTTGCATGCAGCCAACCCAGGTTGAATCCCTGGAGCTAATTTTGGTTCCTTGAACCCCACTAGGAGTGATCCCTAGCTCAGAGCCAGGAGTGAATCCTGAATATGGCCGAATATAGCCCAAAAGCCAAATAAAAATGCATTGCACTGCACTGTCTTCACGTTGTTCATCGATTTGCTCAAGTGGGCACCAGTAACATCTCCATTGTGAGACTTGTTGTTACTGTTTTTGGCATATCGAATATGCTGTGGGGAGCTTGCCGGACTCTGCCGTGCGGGCAGGATACTCTCGGTAGCTTGCTGTGCTCTCCAAGAGGGACGGAGGAATCGAACCTGGGTTGGCCACGTGCAAGGCAAATGCCCTACTCACTGTGCTATTGCTCCAGCCCCAAATAAAAATAAATTTTAAAAAATACCATGAAGAAAGTAATGCAATGCAATGTGATGGAGAGAGACTTGAGACTGCGCAGAGCTTATAGAGAAGGAGGATCAAGGGCTGACTCTACTGGAGGTACTGATATTTGATCAGGGACAAGGAAGGCTGTCTTGCAAAGAGGGTGAGGAGGGTGGGAGGTGGTATGGAGAAATGTTAACAGCAGCAAAGGAGGAACAGAGTTAGTCAACTGTGGGCTTTGTGGTTATAAAACCCCAGGGAGGAAGGGAAAAGTGTTTCATGTGTGTTTTAAGTAAAAGTTGGTAAAAATGATCTTTATTGCTTTGTTATTTATTTGTTTTAATTACTGCTAGGGGCTGGAGCAATAGCACAGGGTAGAACATTTGCCTTGTGCGTGGCCGGCCTGGCCGAGCCACGTTCGATTCCTCCGCCCCTCTTGGAGAGCCCAGCTACCGAGAGTATCTCGCCCACATGGCAAAGCCTGGCAAGCTCCCCGTGACGTACTCGATATACCAAACACAGTAACAAGAAGTCTCACAATGGAGACGTTACTGGGCCCACTCGAGCAAATCGATGAACAACGGAAGGACAGTGCACATAGTGCACTGCTAGGGGATTTCACCTACAAGTGCCCAGGGCTTACTCTGCCTCTGTACTCAGGGATCAATCCTGATGGTTCAAAGATGAAAAAGCCACATGCAAGGCAAGCACCTCAGTATCTTACGAAACACCTTAGTACCAGAGCCCTGTACTATCTATCCCTCCAGCCCCATTTTTGTTTTAATGTCTAAGTGAAGGTTCTTGGGCATCAGCAATTTAATTGCAAATTTCACATTTTTCAGAATATGTGGTAGCACTGTAGGATTGTCCTCCCATTGTTCGCATATATAATTTTCATGACTTTCGTTTGCAAGAAAATAAAGATATGGAAAAGACAAAACTGGGATATTTAATATAAATCACATCAGAATATATGCACATCAGTGTGCTAATAATTTTCTTTATATAAACTTAATTAAATCATAGTAATCCTGCATGCTAGGTGTTCTGAAAAAAAAAATAGATGCAGAAAATAAAATAGAATGGGTTTGTATTTGTCAATTGTCACTTTTTGCCCCGTTGTTTATCGATTTGCTCAAGTGGGCACCAGTCACATCTCCATTCGTCCCTGTCACATGATAGTATATCCTAGTGGCATATTGGGGGGCTCTTTCAGGGTCAGGGGAATGAAACCTATTATTGTTACGGTTTTTGGCATGTCAGATAGCCACGAGGAGCTTGCTAGGCTCTGTCCTGTGGGCAGGATACCCTCGGTAGCTTGCCGGGCTCTCCGAGAGGGATGGGGCTTTGGGGGTGGCCTCTAATCATTTTTACAGGTGTTCACAGTCTACTGAATGAAAGCTTTTTGCTGACTGGCATGTTGTAACAATCTGCACGCTGACAAATATGCACCTGCCTGCATCTCTGGCAGCACCTGGGACATCTGCGGCTTCAGGTTGATCTCCTTAAGGTTGATGGAGTGCACCTCGAGATTTTGAGCAGCTAGCAGAGCAGGACTCCATCGCAGAGGGTCTGCACCAGGCTGAACACCTGTGCCGAGTGGTCCCAGGTCCAGTGGTTGTCAGGCAGCACCTTGCAGTGGATGAGTCACCGCAATGGGTTTATACTTACAGCACCCAATTTCTCTCTCATTTAAATACAGCCAGTCATCATTTAACGCCTTCAGTAGATGTGTGGAAAAGGCAACTTCAGGCTGGAGTGATAGCACAGTGGGTAGGGCGTTTCCCTTGCACGCGGCCAACACAGGTTTGATTCTCAGCATCCCATATGGTTCTGAGCACCGTCAGGAGTAAATCCTGAGTGCAGAGCCAGGAATAACCCCTGAGCATCACTGGGTATGACCTAAAAAAGAAAATAAAAAAGTCTTCAGTAAAGAAAATATTGCAGGGGGTTGGAGTGATAGTACAGCGGGTAGGGCATTTGCCTTGCATGCAGCCGACCCCCATTCGATTCCCAGCATCTCATATGGTCCGCCAAGCACCACCAGGAATAATTCCTGAGTGCAGAGCCAGGAGTAACCCCTGTGCATACCCGAATGTGACCCAAAAAGAAAAAAAAAGAAAAGGCAACTTAAAGGTGTGCAAATAGTATGTAAGGAAGTTAATTTTGCCATAGTCTAATTGATAAGAACAAATGTTAAGTTCTTAAGGAACATTTCTAGCCACAGTATCTCCCTCAGGCTTCTAAATGAAGATCCCAAGTGCTCCTACTATTAAGCAATGCATTCTATTCCTACTGACTTTCATACTCCAACCCCCTTAATTCAGGGTGGTATGTGGTTGGAACCTACCCCCTAGCAGCTTGGAGAGTAAGGTGGGAATCAGTCCTTGACAGAGAAGTCTGTCACCACGGGATGAGCTCACACCCTGTCCAGGCTAGACATCTCAATGAATGGAATATTCCAGAATTTGGGGATGTGAAAAGAAGCCAGAGCACCTAGGCAGACCCACACAGATACGGTATCTGCAAACACCACAGACTGTCACCCAAGTCAATAATCATTTCTTTTTCATCGACTTTCTAAGGAAACTTTGTTGAAGAAAACATTATTTGAGAATTTGCTACATACGATGCCATACACATTCAATGTACGTATTCTTCTCAAGTGAGTTTAAATTGAATTATCCTTTTGCTCTTACTCAATCATTTTGTCCACGTGTCTACTAACTGCATATGATTTGTTAAAGGAGAAAGGGGTTTAGAGGGGCTGAGTGATAGTTAGATAGGAAGTAAGGACACTTCGCTTGCACACAGCTGACCTCATGGTCCCATGAGCCTCACCAGTAGTGATCTTTAAAAGAAATCTTGTTTGCTGTTTTTTTTTTCAATTAGAACATAGACACCACCATAAATTGTTCTATTTCCTGCATTTCGATGAGTGTCAGACAATATGAATATATTAGTATCATCCGTATGCAATGAATATATCTTTTTGTTTGGTCTGTAAGTAAGTCCTGGCAGCTCTCAGGACTTCCTCATGCTCTGTATTAAGGAATCACCTCTGGTGGTGCTTGGTGTGTCTTATGGAGTGACTGGGATTAAACCCAGATTGCCCATATGCAAGACACGTGCTTGACCAAGTGTACTATCATTCCAGCCCCAGTATGCAAAGAATATATTTTGAATTAAAAGAAGAAATTGTGCCAGGCAAATTGTGTCCTAACAAATATGCAAACAAAAATGAGTCACGTCATTGACTTTGCAATGTTTGAATGCATATTTATTGCCAATTCTTATATATTCTACCTCAAGAATATATGCCATGTTAACAAATTATCACAAAGTAAAAAAAATAAAATTATAAGATGTACTTAGAATAAGAAAAATGAAAGTATATTAAAAGGGAATAAGAAAAATGAAAGTATATTAAAAGGGAATAAGAAAAATGAAAGTATATTAAAAGGGAATCTGAAAACATCACTGAGGAAGTGTTTTCCTGAGGAAGTGAAAGTTAAGCTGAGAGCCGAAAGATGAATAGGTATTAGTCATTGGATGTAGGAAGAATATCTGATGGTGGCTAGGAGCTTGCCTTGTTCCAGTTTTATACTCAGCACCAAATATGGTACCCAAACATCACCAGCAGTGATTCATGAGCACAGAGCCACATAGAGTGAGATGGTGTGGGGTGAGGAAGGATGCTAAATTAGTAGACCTGGAAGGAAACATGACAGAGAATATCATTTAGATCTGGAATAAAGAAAGAGTGTGCAGGGGCTGGAGCAATAGCACAGCGGGGAGGGTGTTTGCCTTGCACACGGCCGACCTGGGTTCGATTCCCAGCATCCCATATGGTCCCCTGAGCACCGCCAGGGGTAATTCCTGAGCGCAGAGTCAGGAGTAACCCCTGTGCATCGCTCGGTGTGACCCAAAAAGCAAAAAAAAAAAAAAGAGTGTGCAGTGGGTTTTTGTTTTTTGGGGGTTTGGGGATTAGACCACACACAGCAGTGTTCAGGGTTACTACTGGTGTTGTGCTCGGGGATGATTTCTGGCAGGGCTCGGGGCACTAATTGAGGTGCCCAGGATAGAACCTGGGTTGTCTGTGTATAAAAGAAAGCACCCTACCTGCTGTACTATCTCTCTGGCCTGAGTGTGAAATGTTGAGAGATGCGTTGTACATTTAACAAGATGTGACACATATGAAACACATAATTAGTACTTAATCCTTAGAGAATAAACAGTTGCTATTAATATGGCATTGGAATAATAGCAAAATTTGTGTGCATGTAGTGGAGTAGTTCATTCATTCATTCATTCATCATCCTGTTATTTGTCGATTGCCTCGAGCAGGCCCCAGTAACGTCTCTTTCATCCTAGCCCTGAGATTATATTCAAGGCTCTTTAGGAGAATGAGACACATCATTGGGTGGAGTAGTATTCTGTCAATTTCAATTTCATGAATTTGATTTTTAATGTACAAAAACTAAATACCTTTATTTCTTGGTGTGAGTTATAGTATCTGCAATCTACTCTGAAAGAGTTATAACAGAAAATATTAAGAACATAATAAGCATGTTAGTATATGTAAAAAGATTTAATGGACAGTAGAGAAGGTAGCAGTTAAATTGGAACTATGAATTAGAAGAAACAATTCTATTCTTCTAATACTTATCTATTAAGTATATATAAATATATAATCCTACTAGTAATGTTTAGTAGGTGATTAGAAATAACTCATGACTTCCATATTAAGTATATCGATTTTAGCTCCTTTTCAAGATATTTTGATCTATAAGTACTCATTAAAATAAACTTATTTTTTATTTTTTTAAACTTTTTTTTAAAGAACAAAGTAGATGAGGTTCATTTTATTTTATTATTTTTCTTTTTTTTTTTTTGCTTTTTGGGTCACACCTGGCGATGCACAGGGGTTACTCCTGGCTCTGCGCTCAGGAATTACCCCTGGCAGTGCTCAGGGGACCATATGGGATGCTGGGAATTGAACCCGGGTCAGCTGCATGCAAGGCAAATGCCCTACCCGCTGTGCTATTGCTCCAGCCCCAAAATAAACTTAGTTTTTAAAAAGTATCTATTAGTGATGAATCCTTAGATAATAAATCTTTACAGCTCCTTTGTTTTTCTACTCTTGAGATATCAATTACAAGGTAGTTGGCTAAATCAAATAAAAGGTTTTGGCGCTTGATAGAACAGTACAGCAGCTAGGAGCTTGCCTTGTCCCAGTTCTCTACCGAGCACCAAATATGGTCCCTGAGCACCACCAGGAGTGATTCGTGAGCACAGAGCCAGGAGTAAGCCCTGAGCACCACTGGGTGTGTCCCCAAATCTAAAATTTTTTTTAAAGACATTCATTCCCTGTGGAATATGACAAGCACTGCTTAAATGAGGCCCCATTTTTATTTTCAAAATTGGGTGCATGTGTGCAAGGCCACATTGGGGAGCAGGGTGACTCCTAGCTTTGTCAGAATCAAGCTCCACCTCTTGCATGAAAGCAGGCACTCGGCCCTTTTATAAAATCGTGATCTTCTCACACGTTCTTTCCATCTCTACTGTAATGCAAGCAAGTACTCCATTTATAGTCTGTTTTCAGCTCTAACAGCTCTGAAGCAAAGTTGAACAATCTCATTTCCTCACAAAGAAATCTACTGTAGTGACAAGAATATTGTTTTGGGTGTGTGTGTGTGTGTGTGTGTGTCTTTTTGGGGTCACATCCTCTGATGCCTAAGGGTTGCTCCTGGTTCTGTACTCAGGAATCACTCCCGGTGGTGCTGAGGGACCATATGGGATCGGGGATGGAACCCAGGTCAGCCACGTGCAAGGCCAAACCCCTCCCCGCTGGATTCTGCCTCTGGCCCTGTAGTGAGAACTGGACCCACTTAGCCAGAGAACTGCCATGACAGGCTCTGAGTGACTTAGGTCTCTTCCAGGAACAAGAAAAGCAGGAAAAAAACAGATGCTTTCGTCAAAGATTACATCTCCGGAATAAGATTAGGTCTCTGGAATGTAACTGTCAGGGAGGTGGGCTGGATGTTGCTGGCCAAAACGACAACAACAACAACAAAATAGATGTGTACTCTAGGTAATAGAAAACTGCTAATGTTTACTTGCCAAAATGAAAGTATAAGAACTTGCTGAACCTTGTGCTCGGGTCCTTGTTCAAGCCCGCTGGGTCGGGCGGATACTTGGACCCCAGCTAGCTGGAAACTACAAACCTAGATGTGTGATACGCATTATCGCCTCTGTTCTCTGTCCTTGAGGGGTGGTCGACTCCGCACTCTAACAGAATCTTCTTGAGTGGGAAGCCAGGGGTCTTCCACTATGCACCCACAGTAGAAAAGGCCACCCATCTCCTGCAGAAGAATTTGGGATCCTATGGTCCCATACTCTTTGCAAGATCAGCTTGAGCCTCTTCCTCCTCACTCTGTGCATCTCCGGATTCTCTCTGCATTCCCAATAACTCCCCCTCCAAGTCTCAGCCTCTTCCATCCGTCCCGCTTTTATTATGTGCAACAGTTTAATTCCCTCCCGCATTTATTTCTAAGAAGGAACCTGAAATCTCACTAGGACCATCCCTAGATTTGAGGCGGGAGATCATCAGAAATAATCCCAAATCTTTTTTTTTTTTTTTTAGCAGACACAGATATTTATGCAAAAAGTTGAGATTCGAGATCTCAACTTGCTTCAGTGCGCTCTTGAGCGATGAAACGCAGCCCCACCTCCTGGACGCGGTTACAGACACCCCCGGACCGCCTCACGGAATGATGGACAGCCGGCCCCGCGTTCAGCGCAGGCGCGGAAGGGCAAACCCCGCCCCGGAACCCGTGCACCGGAAGTCCCGGAGCGGAAGCCGCTCTGGCCGGGAAAGGGCCGTGGCGCCTCAGCCCGGAAGTCCCGGAGCGTCTTTTCCCCCCCGCCTCGGAGGTTCCTCTGAGGCGTTCGGCAGTGGGTGAAAGGTCAAGCCCGGGAGTTGGAAGCGATGGCGCTCGCCGCGCGACTCCGGCGCGTTCTCTGGGTCGGACTTGGCCCGTTCCGCAGAGCCCGGACCCCAGCGGGGGCGGCTGGGAGCCGCGGGGTGTCTCAGGTAACGCCGCCGGCCTGGCCCCCTGCCGACCCGCGCCCCTCAGCACCGGACCCGCGTGAGGACCCGACCGAGGACCCGGCGCGAGCCTCCTTCCTTCCTTCCTTCCTTCCCTCCGCGGGGGCGGGGGTCCGAGCGGGAGCTGATGCCCACCCCTCCTCCAGCCGCGAGCTCCTCCGTCCACCCCCACCCCCGTCTCCTTGTCCCCGGTCGCCGCGGTGACCTGCCGCGACCTCCCGCGCGCCCCCGGGCAGGGCGTCCCCGGGTCGGTTCCCCGGACTTGGAAAACTGGCCGTGAGGCTTCGGACGTTTCCCACACCCCCGGGTTGGAGATCTCTGATGCTGGTGGTGTTTTGTTGTTGTTGTTGTTGTTTGGGGGGTGTGTTCAGTGCGCGGGAGCTTCTCCTGGCCGGGCACTGCGGGGTCTCTCCTGGCGGGATGCCCGGGATTGAACCGGGGTCGACCACGCGCGTGGCAATCGCCTTACCCGCTGCACCCTCGCCCGGCCAGCCGAGGTCTTTGTATTTTTTTAAAAGATCGTTTTTAAATTTATTTCTTTCTCTCTCTTTCCTTTCTTTCTTTCTTTCTTTCTTTCTTTCTTTCTTTCTTTCTTTCTTTCTTTCTTTCTTTCTTCACTCTCTCCCATCCAGCGGAGGTCTTTTTTTAAAGATATTTTTTAATTACATTTTCTCTTTCTCTTTCTTTCTTTCTTTCTTTCTTTCTTTCTTTCTTTCTTTCTTTCTTTCTTTCTTTCTTTCTTTCTTCACTCTCTCCCATCCAGCGGAGGTCTTTTTTTAAAGATATTTTTTAATTACATTTTCTCTTTCTCTCTTTCTTTCTTTCTTTCTTTCTTTCTTTCTTTCTTTCTTTCTTCCCTCCCTTCCTTCCTTCCTTCCTTCCTTCCTTCCTTCCTTCCTTCCTTCCTTCCTTCCTTTCTTCCCATCCAGCGGAGGTCTTTTTATTTTTTTTAAGATTGTTTTTAAATTACATCTCCCTCCCTCTCTCTCTCTCTCTCTCTCTCTCTCTCTCTCTCTCTCTCTCTCTCTCTTTAATTTTTTTAAAGATTGTTTTTAATTTACATTTTCCTCCCCTCTTCTCCCTCTTCTCTCTTCTCTCTTCTCTCTTCTCTCTTCTCTCCTCTCTTCTCTCTCCTCTTCTTTCGCTTTTTGGGTACAATCAGCGATGCTCAGGAGTTACTCCTAGCTTTGCACGCAGGAATCACTCCTGGTGGTGCTCGGGGACCACCTGAGATGCTGGGAATAGAACCGGGGTCGGCCACGTGGTGCAAGGCAACCGCCCTCCCGCTCCAGCCCCATAAATTAGATTTTCTTTCTTGTAGTTTTTTGTTGTGGGGCAGAGCTGGGCACCCAAGTAGAGCTTAGGGGTCGGAGCCACTCGGAGATACTGACACCTTAGTGCAGTGCTGCTCCTGGTTGGGCAAGCGAGTGAGGGTGGGAGAGGTAGCTGCCACCTCGCTGGGTGCCGGGCATACTTTTTAGGGGTGCCGCCCTAAAATAAAGTTTCTTTTCTTTTTTTTTGTTTGGTGTGATAGTGTTTTTAAACTGTGCCTTTTTTAAAAAAAAATGAACTGTGATTTACAAAGTTGTTGGTAGTTGAGTTATAGGCATCTAATATTTTGACACCAGTCCCATCACCTGTGTCAGCTTTCCTCCACCAGTGTATCCAAATGCCCACCAACCCCTGCCCAGCCCCCAACTGTCAACTTGACAGGCACATTCCAAAGTTTCAAGTCACTGCTCAGATCTCATGTTTTCAGTTCTGTTGAGTCTGTGTTTTGGATATACAGCTATACCACTCACCCATGTGGCCAGTATGAAGCCCTGATGCTTGTTCACACATTACTTCCTGTTCTGTTCTTCCCTTGATTTCTTTCCTTCCCTGTCTGTCTCCTCTCTAAACACTGGGGTTAATTTAAGGGTGATCTAGGCATCCCCCTTTACTACAGTGCATTTCCTCATCCAGTATTGTTTATCCCACACTTAAGTGAGATCATCCTGTGTTTGTCTTTCTTTTGGCTTACTTCACTCAACATGATATCTTCCAATAAACCACATTGCAGCAAATTGCGTTGCATCATTCCTTGCAGCTAAATAGTATTCCCTTGTGTGTTTTTACCATGTCTTCATAATCCACTCATCTGTCTTTGAACAACTAGATTGATTTCATATCTTAGCTCTTGTACTCAGTGCAGCAGTGAATAATGATGTGCATATCTCCATTTGAGAGTGTTTTAATATCCTGTGGCTATATGCCCCAAAGTGGAATTGCAGGGTCTTACATAAAATGGTTTCTGAGTTGCTTGTTTTAGCAGCAGAATTTTTTTTTGATGAACTTTTTGTTAAATGAAGGTAATCCTGGTTTACAGCGCACACAGCCTCATACCTCTTAAAATACTAAGCCTATCATCAAAGTGTCAATATCCTGTCAGTATCACACCTAGAGTTCATTGACTTCTTTGCATTCTTGGGTCTGCTTTCTTTATCACTGTAACCTCAAATCTGTGACCGGAAACCAAGAATTAGTTTTGGTTTTGCTTTGTTTCTTTGCATATCAGGTATTTGTCTTTATCTCCAAACTTACATTTTTACTCAGCATAGCCTTTTCTGGTTTCATCCATATTGTTAATGCCCAGATTTTTTCTTTTTTCTATAGCAAAGAAGAATTCATTTATTTATGTATGCCACATCTTCATTATTTATCTTTTGTTAGGTAATAGGATTTTCTGCATGTTTTGGGCTTTTATAAGTAGATGTACTGTGATCTGTAGTGATCTGCAGTGAACCCAGGAGTATACATACTGGATTTTTTGATTTTTGGAATTTTTTTTCTTCAGACATACCCATAGTGGAATTGCTGGAAGAACCTTATTTTAACCCAAGAAAGCATAATTTATTGATTAATTACTTCATGACATTAATTTTTATTGTTTATTGGATGGCATGATCTTGGCACAGTGATTAGTGCTACAGATACCATTAGGAGCAAAAATAAACGTTTCATCCTCATTGGGCTAACAGTTGAATGGAAAAGACAGATATCGGCTAGACGAATGCATAACTAAGTGGGACGATTACAGCTCTGGGAAGATCAATGAAGGAGAAATACATGATGTTGGGAGACTAATTGAAGAGAGCTTAGTGAATTTGTGGGTTCTAAGTCCCTGGTGAGATAGACCATCATGAGAAGGTTACAGAGTTAAGAGACTGACCTGAAAGAACTGTTTTTAAATTTTAGTGTTTTATTTCAAAATACTGTGATTTACAGTATTGTCAATGATAGTTTCATACATAGAGCATTTGAACACCACACCCTCCACCAGGGTGTCCTGTTTCCCTCCAGACCCTCCCCGATTGGTAAGCTTAGTTTTGCAGTACAGTTCTCAGGTTCTATTGCCTTTGACCATTTATTTCCCCCCTATTATGTATTTTTATATTCCTTATATATGAGAGATCATTCTGTGTCTGTCCCTCTCTGGACGGGCTTCATCCTTAGCCGCAGAATTTAAAGGAAAGACATCTGAGATGTCATCCCAGTTCTTCTATTTCTGTTAAACTGTTAAGCTGTTCATGTACTTGGCTTTTTCCTTTCGAAAGGAGTGGGCTGTGCGAGTGCCGTTGGTGCATTTCACATACTTCATTAGAGGCATTTTATTCTTTTAATCTCTAAAACCATGTTTGTTTTAGGGATATGGGTTAACACCTCTTCACATGTAGGTTACCGATAACCACCCCACCATCATAACACAAACAACCATCCATCACAGTCCACTGAACCTCCTGAAATACGAGTTCTGTGCACAGTGTCCAGTTTGTTTTGTCTGTGCTGTTCCTTTGCCTGGTTTGTTTATATCCCACATATCCGTAATACTCTAGGGTTTTCCATTTTTTTACTGGCCAAAAGAGCAAGATTTCATCTGTTCACAGTGATTCAGTAAAATTAAAAAAAAATTTTTTTTCAACTGTTTGTGTGTGTAGAGTATTCCATTGTAGATACCACATCTTAATCTAATTGTGCTGGCACTTGCAGTGTTTCCGTACTCTGGCTTTTCTAAATAGTGGTGTAACAAGCATGTGTCTTTTGAATTAATGCTTTTGTATACTTTGGATCCATAGCTTGGCATGGAATTGGTGGTTCATACGACCTGTTTTTTTTTTTTTATTAGTGAAACACTATGAGGTACAGTTACAGACTTATAAATTTTTGTGCTTGGGTTTCAGTTATACAGTGATCAAGTACCCATCCCTCCACCAGTGCCCATCCTCCACCACCATGGGTCCCAGCATCCCTCCCACCCCCCATGTCCCCCCATCCCACCCTGCCTCTGTGGCAGGGCATTCCCCCTTGTTCTCTCTCTCTTCTTTTGGGTACTGTGTTTTGCAAGAGAGGCATTGAGTGGCAATCATGTTTGGTCTATAGACTACTTTTAGCATGCTTCTCCCACCCTGGGAGGGTCCTCACAGCACCCTTTATTTGGTGCTCTCTTCTCTGAGCTTCCTTTTCACCTAGCACGTGTGGCTGGCCTTCAAGTCATGGAGCAAAATTCCTGGTACTAATCTCAGCCATTCCTGGGTGTTATTCTCCCTTTTTGTTGCTTTATGTTCCCCAGATGAATACAATCTTTCTGTGTCTATCCCGCTCTTCGCTTAACATGATACTTTCCATGTTGTACCACTTGTATGTAAATTTCATAACGTCATCTTTTCTAACAGCTACATAGTACTCCATTGTGTAAATATACCAAAGTTTCTTTAACCAGTCATCTGTTCTCGGGCACTCAGGTTTTTTCCAGATTCTGGCTATTCTAAAGAGTGCTGCAATGAACAAACAATTGCAGATGTCACTTCGACTATACCTTTTTTGCCTCTCTGGGATATATTCCCAGGAGTGCTATAGCTGGGTCAAATGAGAGATCAAATTCTAATTTTTTGAGAGTCGTCCATACTGTTTTCCAAAAGGGTTGGACCAGCCGGCATTCCCACCAGCAGTGAAGGAGGGTTCCTTTCTCGCCACATCCGCGCCAGCATTGGTTGCTTTTGTTCTTGTGGATGTGGGCTTATGACCTCAACATCAGACCAGAATCCATGTTTATTGAAGACAAAGTCGGCAAAACTCTCCATGATATTGAAGCTAATGGTATCTTCAAAGATGTCACGCCACTGGCCGAGCAAGTGAAAACAGAGATAGACAAATGGGACTGTCTTAAACTAAGAAGCTTCTGCACCTCAAAAGAAACAGTGACCAAAATACAAAGACAGCCTACAGAATGGGAAAGGATATTCACCAAATACACATCCGACAAGGGGTTGATATCAAGGATATACAAGGTACGGGTTGAACTCCACAAGGAGAAATCACCCAACCCCATCAAAAAATGGGGCGAGGTAATGAACAGAAACTTTCGCAAAGAAGAAATCCGAATGGCAAAAAGGCACATGAGAAAATGCTCTACATCACTAATCATCAGAGAGATGCAGATCAAAACAACAGTGAGATATCATTTCATACCACAGAGACTGGCCCACATCCACGACCTATTTTTAATTGAAATACACATGTTGACCACCTGTTCTGTTCAGCTTATCACTGGGCAAAGGAAAGAACAGGGGAAGAAGGACAATGAGACAGTCATTTTCCCTTGAATAGCTTATATCCAAATGGGAGAAGTTAAGTGGTGCAGTCACTTAATACAGGAAGATTACCACTGTGAAACAAAACAGCTTCAAGTTTCCAAATTAAAATATGATTGAGGTCAAAATCTCATTTTTGCGTTTGTCTGCCAGTATGGCCCTTGCGGTTGGCCCCCAGGATATTCTAAGGGGGTGACAGGTGAAAATCATGTACTGGGGAGTCACAGCACAAGACTAGGGGTCATCCTGCAGAATAGGGGGGCTAGTGTCCAAAAAAGGTTGAGAAACACTGGTTTAGATAATAGTGATAGCTATGCTACATTTATTGAAGGTTTAAAACTGGACAGTGTGTATAAGTCTGACCTCATTTTAAAGGATCATTATTATAACCACTTTTTAGAAAGGAAAATTGATTAATGTGTTCACAAGTTACACCACCAGGATGATAATAATTTGATAGCAGACAGATTATCTCCAGAACTCAAAGCTGCATGTAACTACCATGCTAAATAGCTAAAAACCAGAAAAGTTTGGTTGAAAGGAGAGAAGGAGGAAAAAAAAGCCTCAGGAGGATTGAGAAAGAAGTATAAGTACCCACTCTAAGCTCTCCAGAGTAGTCATGATTATTTCTTTCTAGGGATGATCAATTTTCAGGGAGTTAATACAACTTCCAGTTATTCATGCGTTTTTCCTAGCATTAGCATTTTTTTTCATAGATATTTTGTTGTATCACTGAAGTTGGAAGTATTTAATTTTTAAGTAACTTTAATTACTTTTTTGTTTGTTTTTTTTGGGGGGGGGGGTCACACGCAGAGATGCTCAAAGATTACACCTGTCTCTGCACCAGGACTTTTTTCCTAGCGGTGCTCAGGGGACCATATGAGATGTTGGGGATCAAACCCAGGTCGACCATGTGCCAGGCAAATGCCTTGCTGTACTATTGCTCTGGCCCCAGTTGAGAGTATTTCATCCTTAGAAGTTTCTCATGTTTAGGGGTTATTTCTGAGTGGCTGATTCAATGTGTGTGTCTGTGTATCTGTGTGTGTGTTTCTTTCACCCTTATTATAAAACACCATCTCTGAACATTTATTTTTCAACAGACTTGTTCTAGAGTTCTAGCTGCCTATGTGGTACATGACGCCACTAGCATCACTTGGCCCCAGCAAAGTCGTATCACCAGCCTAAGCATTGAGGTATCCAACCAGCCACTCAGGGTGGCTTTATGTGCAGGAGTGCTCCCTTGAACACTGCTTGGGGGAACTGGTGGAGGAAAAAAAACAAGGGATCGTAACAGGATAGCCCTCCCTCTATGGTAATTTGGTGAAACAATTTTGTTGAGAAAGTTGGTAAAGTAAATTTGAGCTTTCAATAATTTTAAAGTGATTGCTTTGAGGGTTGAAGAAATTAATGTAAGTTGTTACTTTGAGTAGCAATTTCTTCAAATTTGAACATGGTCATAATTCTTTTTCTAGGTGCTGGGTCACCCTGGTGTTTTTAGAAAAAGTGTTTTCTTCTCAGCCCTGTCTTACTTGGGTTTGGAAGCTTATCAACTTGTTTCTCAGGCTGCTGTGGTTCATGCAGCAGCGAAAGGTAAGCTGAGCCAAACTGGAGTTCTTAGATCAATTTGTTTTCTTCTTATTTTTAAATAGATGACATTTAAGATTGAGTCTATAATTATGTTTATGACATATATAGCAGCTAGAAATCTCGTGAAAAATACTCTATTAATACTTTTTATTATTACTACGTTGGTAATCTATTGTTTAGTTTTACTTATTTTTGGCTTTTTGGGTCACACCTGGCATTGCTCAGGGCTGACTCTTGGTTCTGCACTCAGGAATCACTCCTGGCGGTGCTCAGGAGACCATATGGAATGCTGGGACTCGAACCCCGATTGGCCACATGCAAGGCAAACGCCCTACCCGCTGTACTATCATTCCAGCCCCTCTGTTGTTTATTTTTGTTTCAGATTTTTTGTTTGTTTGTTTGTTTGGGGCCACTTCTGGCTGTGCTCAAGGCCCGTTTCCTGGCTCTGTGCTTAGGGATCACTCCTACAGTTCTTGGGAGGCCGTCTTTGGGTTGGCTGTGTGCTAGGCAACTGCCTTACCCACTGTTCTATCTCCCAGTTCCAGTACAAATTACTTTGCTCTGGCGGCAGTGGCGCAGCTCTTCCTTAAGCAGTCTTTGAGGTCTGGTGGCCTCTCCCTGCATTACTGACTTGGCTCTGTGGGCCTGACCATTTGATGCTTGGCTCAGGGATTTGGTGTTTAAGGCCAACAGTGCTAAGGGCCACCAGGGCTACGCCTAGCACTGCTCAGAGGATCATGCCTTGCCTAGGGTAAAACTCTGCCTCCACATGCAAGGCATGCACTCTGACACCATGGAGCGATTTCTCTGGCCCCCAATACTTTGAAAAAGACTGAGGCGTTGGAGGTGAGGAGGCAACTGATGGAATAAACTCAAGAGACTGTATCAGGCGTACAGAGCCCATTTTACTTTATGGATTTTTTTCATAGAAAAAATTTGTTGAAGAAAAGAAAAAAAATTGTCAAGCCCTCCTTGCACAAAGAGAACTTAATGAAACAACGTGGCTCAGTTTGTACAAATTAATAATGTTTGATGTTATACCATTTTCTACAATATTTAACAGTGATACTGAAGACTGTGTGAAGGGTTTATATACCGCAGATTCCTCAAGAAAATTGCTTTTTTATTTTGTAAAATGTGTTGCCAGAATAGTTTTTAGTTTTTTGATTTTCCATGATATTACTAAATTACTAACTGTAATAGTTTTGTAATTATTTTCACTAAACTTGTATCATTTCTGGGCTTTCTGTAGAGGTGATTTCTTTGTTGTTGTTCATGGGGCTCTGGGTGACTTGTTTGGAGGCACCCTTGGCAGTATTGCGGGTCTGCTCCTGACTCTGTGCTTGGGGACTCTGTGGTAGCAGGGAAACCTCCCGCATGCAGGGCATGCACACAGCCCCATGTGCATCTCTCTCCAGTAGAGAGATTTCTGTATCTAATCCCTTTGCTGGTGTGTACACACCGTACCCAGTTGCTCAAGAGTTACGACTAGCTCTGCACTCAGGAATCACTCCTGGCAGTGCTTGGGGGACCACATAGGATGCTGGGGATTGCACCTGGGTCAGTTGTGTGCAAGGCAAATGCCCTACGCCTGCTGTACTATTGCTCCGGCTCCATGTGCAGGTGTCTTATAACTGTCCTCTGACTTGGGAAAATCTCCTTTATTGTGTTTGTTTTCTTTTTTAGTTGTTGGGATCGAAGAAATCCTTGAACAAGCAGACTACTTATATGAAAGTGGAGAAACAAAAAAACTTTATCAGCTGCTAACCCAGTACACTAAAAGGTGGGTAGAGAGAGAGAGAGTGTATGTGTGTGTGTGTGTGTGTGTGTGTGTGTGTGATTTAACAAGTCAGATAATTATTGATGCTTGAGATATCTATATTTTTTAGGTTTTTTTTTTTTTTTTTTTTTGCTTTTTGGGTCACACCCAGTGATGCACAGGAGTTACTCCTGGTTCATGCATTCAGGAATTACTCCTGGTGGTGCTCGGGGGACCATATGGGATGCTGGGAACCTAGGTCAGCTGCATGCAAGGCAAACGCCCTACCCTCTGTGCTGTTGCTAATGATTGTATTGGTTGTGCTTATCTCTTTATCATTCTAGAAGCCCAGCGATTTAGAGACATCAGAAACATTTCTGTTGGCTTTTTTAAATATTATATTACTAGAAAATTGGTGTATCACTCAAATAATGCAGATATATATACATATATATAGTTCAATAATTTACCTCATTTCCTAAGCTAAAAATATTTAATCATTTTTAGCTATTTTTCTTGAATTCCTCAACCAATTTCTGAGATCTATCTAATCTGGCTTCCTTACTATTGGTAGGCTTTATCAGTTGAATTAGTAAACTATGAGCTAGTTAATTCCATGATCATTGAGTTTTAAATATAAAATAAGTAGTCTGTTTCAAATTTATGTAATGACCAGTTTTTGGTTAAGAAATACGATATAGCAAGTTTAAGAGATAATAAAAAGGAATTTTAAGTTATTTGAAAAATGTTTGTTGCTTTGTTTTTCAGTTATTTAATTTTATTTAAATGTCTACTCTTCAGAGACTTTAAATGACCTTGAAGTATATAGCATGCATCAATGTATGGATGACATTAATGCATAGAACTTAATTTTGAGATCTCATTCATTAGCATATATTTATCAGCCTGTTATATGCTAGGTACTATATTTGAGCCTAGGGATATAATAGTTCAATTTTTTTAGAGTATGACTGTAATTTTTATTTTATGGTACTATCTGGACAAGTGACTTGTTTAAAGCATAGGTTAAGTCTCAAGTTATATAGAAGAGTCAAATACAAACATACATATGTATATACAAAGGGGGGGAAAGCGAAAGATTGATTTTGGGGTCTCACTGTGGTGCTCAGGACCTTTGGGTGCCTGAGATGAACATGGGACTCCAGCTCTTTGATCTATCTCCTGAACCCCACAAAGATGATTTCTAAAGAATTCAGTATTTGATACCATAGGGGAGTTATATTTATAAATAATATTGGCTATCTTGTAGGAAATTTTAGCAAAGAGATGTTTCATATGAAAAAATAATTTTGTGAATAATGGCTTTTGATATGTTTGCTGTATTTCATTGAGCTGAAGAGCACATGTATTCATTAGATATGACAGTTGTAAATTTACATTTGTATAAAACTGAATGATTATCATAGCATTGTTGTTTTATATCAAATTAGTGAAGATGCAGAGTTGCTCTGGCGCTTGGCACGGGTATCACGTGATATGGCTCAGCTTTCTGAAACCTCAGAAGAGGAGAAAAAGCTACTGGTATATGAAGCCCTGGAGTATGCAAAAAGAGCACTAGAAAAAAATGAATTAAGTTTTGCAGCTCATAAGGTGAGGTATTTAAAATAACTAAACTCTTTCCAGGGACTAGTGGTGTATTGCTAGTGGTGCATCAGTAAGTATAACTTACCTAAATTGCTCTTGGAAAGTACGAAGAGATACACGTTTATGGCCTTGTTTCAAACAGTTATAGTTGATACCATCAAATTCATTTTGTGAGTATTAGGGTTTTTCTTATTTTTTATTGTTTTTTGGACTCTCTTGGCAGTTCTCAGGGACTACTTCTGGCTTTGTGCTTAGGGATCACTTTTGGTGGGCTAAGGGAGCCATATGAGGTGCTGGGGATCGAACCCGGTTTGCATTGTGCAAACCTACTGTACTGTCTCTCCACATCAGACTTTATTTTTAAACCAAAATGGCTACTGATTTTGTGGCCAAGCAATAGTACAGCAGGTAGGGCATTTGCCTTGTACACAGTTGACCTGGGTTTCATCCTCGGCATTCCATATGGACCCCGAGCATAGTGCAGAGCTAGGAGTAGCCCTTGAGCATCGGCAGGTATGACCCAAACAGCGAAAACAAACAAAAAGTGCTATTGGTTTTGTTACCTGTGTTTTTATTCCTAGTTGTGAAAACAGAAATATTTTCTTCTTTCATCTCACTTAATATTTTGGTTTTAGATTCTTACAGTAAACTTTCTTATTATCGAATGGTATACCTTTCACTGTAGATTTCTAGAAATGGCCTTTTGCAATCTTTGGGATCATAGATTCCACAGTACGAAAAAAAAGCAGCTCTTGGGACAATAACTCTCGTCTTGTTCTTCTCTGAATCTGTTGAAGTGATTGTGGGCTAGCAAGGAAAAGATGGGTTTTCAGAAACAGAAGTAATTGGCCTTTCTCTATGAATATTTAATGGGATTTTGCGTTAATGTTAAATATCCAAATTGGTGTCATTTGGTGTCATTTGTTAAAACAATGGAAATGTAAAAAAAAAACAGGAATGCTGTTCACTACCTTTATTTTATGAAAGTAAAACTGAACAAAATGGTTGATTATAATGTGGCTAGTTTGCATGTATTGTAATTACATTTTGTTTGGCCCATAGCCTCAAAAATAATCAGATGCTGGGAGCATTCCATTAGAGTCTTAACAATGTTTCCAATGCGTGAAATATATACATAGGTTCTCTGCTTTGCTTCTCCATCACTGACGTGTACATATACACGTCAAATGATAAAAAAAAAATTGGTTTTAGATAGCATGTGGTACCTGGACAACTGAAACCTGGTAAAATTTAAAATTACTATAAAATTACTGGTTTCTGGATTTCTGAACTGATTTCTTTTGGGGGGTTTGGGCCACAGCTGGTGGTACTGGGGTCTTTTCCTGCCACTCCGCCAGAGGGCCGCTCCCTTTGGTGGCTGAGGGACTGTGTGGCACTGGCATCAGCTACATGCAAGCCAGCGCCTTCATCGTAATGTCTGTCTGACGCTCCTGCTGTTTTGTTATTGTTGGGTTCGGGGCTTATTGGGCATTTGGAGTCACCTTTGCCCAATAGGAGCTCTAGCACTGGAATCCAGCAGTGGTGCACGTGACCTGGGCTTTGCAGTGGCTGGTGCCTGGCAGTGGCTGTGGTGCCCAAACGTTTAGGCAGGTTGGCCTGGGGATTGCCTTCTGGGGTACCCAGGAATAGCTGTAGAAGTGAGCTGACCTGTATATAGCAACTAAGAGATTTGATTTTGCCAGCACTGGGCAGCAATTGTGGTGCTAGAGTTAGCTGATCCGCCTTGTGTCTCATGGTCAACATTTCTAGTGTTTGGCAAGTCTGAGTGAATCTGTGCTGCTGTGAGATGTTTGAAATCCCAGGTGCCTGGCGTCCCTGGGGGCTCAGCTACACAGTCACAATTGCTCTGTGCCAAATTTGAGTTGGATGACGGGCCCTCAGTACCATTGCATGAGATTCCAAGAGCCTTAGTGAATCTGAGTCCCCAAGGATAGCTGTGTGTCAGATTCAGTCAGCCTTGGGTGATTTGGACGAAGTCTCAGGAGCCCCAAAGCATCTATTTAAGCACCTGATTGTTCCAGGAATTGAGAAGGCCTGGGTGCCATTTAAGATCTCAGGATCATCAGAGCTAGACAGTTCCCTGGCTTGCCTCTGTGCTGGGTTCCCATGTGTAGGGGGCAGGTTAGTGGACTGTCGGTCCCAGAGCAGACACTTAGGGCTGAATGCTTCTCTGGCATATAAAATTGCTGGATCTGCTTGCTGACGGGCATTCGTAGGCTGAGAGGAGCTGAGTTTGCTTGGTTAATTTACATTTCAGTCTGTGTGAGTCCTAATAAATGAAATGAAGAGTATTTGAGAGAGCAATGGAAAGAGGAAAGAGGTAATGAAGGAACAAATTGGTGTCTTTTTATTCTTGTGGTATTAGACCACATCCAGCAGTGCTCGGGGCTTGGCTTACACTTGTTCACTTCCCATTCTTAGCGATTCACGCTCTACCCTGTTTTAATTTTCGTTCAATCATATCCTTGACTTCCTGGAGGACGGTGTGTTTGTACATTTTGTGTGTTAGTACATTTAAGAAAAAACTGTATTAGAAAAATTTATTATCTTTTTATTGGGCTGAGAATGACTGAGAAGTGATTATTATTGTTATGTTAATATTGAATGGGATATTAAGAGTAATCCTCTTTTTTCCCCCAGTGGTATGCAATCTGCATTAATGATGTTGGAGATTATGAAGGTATCAAGGCTAAAATTGCAAATGCCTACATCATCAAGGAGCATTTTGAGGTACTAATGAATTTTAAAAGTCACCTCTCAATATATTTCTTCTCATTTATCTTTTGTTCTGTAACAAATGACCTATAACTGGCCAAAAGTAGTGACAGTTTATTTCTCAAAGATTTGTAGATTAACTGAGTGCAGTGGTGCTTTTATTCTGTTTAGTATAACTAAGGTTATTTAGTTGTCTGTGTTTACCTAATTTATATAATGACTAATTTAAAAGAACATAGGATACCCAATTTCATTTTCCGGCATCGGTAGCACTGATGTGAATGTATGTGCATGCCTGCATGCACATACTCTCTCTCCCCCCCCCCCCCCCCCTCTCTCTCACACACACACACACACACACACACACACACACACACACTCAACTTAATTGTGCAGATTTTTTTGGTTACATTTTAAGATCTTTGAAATTAAACTGCATTATCGAATCAGTGGTATTTTTAGTAATTTGCTCAGTGGCAATAATCTTGTATTTACTCTTTACTCTGAATAAAGGAAAAATTGCCAAATACTTCAGTGTATATTAATTTATGCTTGAAAGAAGCAGTGAAAGCTATATTTTTTGAAAATCCAGTGTTTAGTATGTTTTCTAATAAGTTAGTAAATTAAAAGTGACAGTATTTAGTTTTTGCATATTAGAAAGATTTATATTGCTTTTACATCAAATTCTGTTATTACATATAAAGTCCTAAGGACGTATCATTACTGAATTGTTTTTGAGCCCAATGACAGGAAAAACTATTACAAAGAAAAATGGATTTGCTTAAGAGTAGCCCATCTCAAAGTATGCCATAAAGAATAAATTCTAATACACCACGCCTTCGTTATACATGATGAATTAACTTTTCTCTCCCATGCATGCACTTGCTCTGTTATTCTTTGTAGAATGAAGAAAAATAGATCCTAATATGTATTCTGTTATTCTGTTACATAGTTTGTCAGGGGAGGTCTCCCAAATAGTGGTCAGGAGGTTCAAGCCTCCTCTAGCCACTTGTGGCCAGCCTGGAGACGGTGCTGCTCTGGCCTGCAGTGCCGGATGCCCAGGGCTGCACCTACCTCGGGACCAGGTGGAAATCAAACCCAGGCCAGGCACATGGGCTTTTGCCCTAACCTCTGTGGTTAACTCCCAGAGACAATATACAGTATTTTGTAGTGACTAGTTTGCTGGTGGCAATTCTTGTTGAGAAAGGTTGTTGATTATAAGTTATGTATACTATGAATACATTTTGCTCTACACCTTCATGAAAAAGGAAAAAAATAAGTCAGTGCTGATTCTTACCTGTATTATTGAAGCAAGCTTTCCGCCAAATCTTATTCAGCCATTGATAACTGTTTCCTCTGTCACTGTGAGTAACACCAATGATTGGAACAGATTGGTACTTATGAAAAGTAAAAGTAGTTGATGGATTATCACTATCATCGTTTGTTATTTGCTTAATTTAACTACCCCTATAAGGTAGGTCTGCTATTTTCTCCATTCTGTATATAAAATTCAGACAGACAAGGTAAGACTAGAGAACTTGTGAGATGGAAAGATAGAAATTGTTGAATTTTGAAGCCTGGTAGATCCATATTAGTACAGATGCTGGTAACTTACTGACATATGAAAATGTATATTGCACATTAAATCAAAAGTGAATATAAGGGGTTCAGAAAAGCACTAACGTAGCACCATCTCAATATTTATTTATTTATTTTGCTTTTTGGGTCACACCTGGCGGTGTCCTTGCTCTGCACTCAGGAGTTACTCCTGGCGGTGCTCAGGGGACCATATGGGATGCTGGGAATCGAACCCGGGTTGGCTGCGTGCAAGGCAAACCTTACCTGCCGTGCTATCTCTCCAGCCCCCCATCTCAATATTTAAAGAGGTTTATTTTTATAATAGGATTAACATTAATCTGAAATTTCCTTAGTGGTTTACAATAGATTAAAAAGAGGAGTTGCTTTAAAGCTGTTCTGTAGTTTATACTTTACAGTAATCCACATAAGACTTTCACTTAATAAATAGAAATTAGGAAGAATTTATGAATATAACTTAGATTGTACATCATTATTAACACATTTAGTGAATTAATATGGTTCCCCTCTTTCTTTGCTAAATACAAATGGAAAGTTGAACGAAGTCTGAATATAGGAAGAGTTTCTAAAATTATGTTTCTTTAGCAAATTAGACTTATTTAATATCTATTTAGAATTTATCAAAAAGAATATTTATTTTTTCATCTCCCTAGAAGAAGCATTGAGGTCTGGAGATTATTGTTTTCAAAATTAGATTGACAGAGTTCGTGTTCTTTCTGATTTTGATAAACTCTACTCTTAGTTTCTGAACCTAATGAAACAGTGACCTTAGTACAAGTATTAACTGTTTGATGAAATGACCAATGATCAGATGTTGGGGGGGCCACAGAGAGTCCAGGAAGTTGGGCCTGGATCTATCCTCAGATCCATCCTCTCAGGGTCCAACTACCACCAAAAAGCCCCTGAGTACCTCTGGGTGTGGCCCCGAACCTCCCCATCCCTCCAAAAACAGGATCAGTAGGGAAACATAGGTATTAATTGAAATAGAGAAGATACTGAAGGTTTCGATTGTTTTTAAATCATGGCTTCTTTAGCAAAAGAGAACATTATTTATTGGTGTTTAGAAGACAAATGTGATTGATGCTCTCATTTCTTGTTAGAAAGCAATTGAACTGAACCCTAAAGATGCTACTTCAATTCACCTTTTGGGTATTTGGTAAGAAAATTTCTTAAATATTTCAGTGGTATTTAGTAAGCTCTTATTTTGTGATAAGTACAAATGTCTTGTTTTGTCATCTATAGAGAAGCAAGATATAAAATAATTCAATATAACATTTGGCAGAGTATTTAGAATTTGTGCATTTATGTTAGAAAACACATTTGATTGTGATCTTGTTAAATATTGTCATTTCATATCATTTAGAAACATATACTAAGATTAAAACTCTTGTTAGATTTGTCAGTTCCCTTTGAGAAAGCTTTCCATTTTTCACGTTGAATGAAACTGGGCTAATTTCTAACTACAGTAATAGAATAATAAAATGCTCTCAGAGGATCTTTTCATTTTCAAAGTATGTCAGATACAATCTGAGTCATCTCAGGAGCAATACAGTCTGAGTTATTTTCATTTTTATCCAACTTTTATCCAACATTACGTTCTTATTTTACTGGTATGAGTATATATTGTGTTTATGCTTTATTATCATTACTAGTACTAATTGTTACTACTTATGGTTAGTCACAAAATGTATCCAAATGGATTCATCAGTATAAGTCAATCTCTAGATAAGTAAGTATGAATCTAGTGTGGTCTTACTAGATGTTAAGAGTAATCTTTTTAGAATGTTCAACAGATTCCTTTTATATCGCTTAAGATGCTTTGTTTGCCTTAAAAAAAAAGGGCACAGTTTTAATATAAACATTTTATTTTCTTATAGGTGTTACACTTTTGCTGAAATGCCTTGGTATCAAAGAAGAATTGCTAAAATGCTGTTTGCAACTCCTCCTAGTTCCACCTATGAGGAGGTAGTGTCTGATGTCCTTTGTTAAGTTAGTAGTGATTTCTTAGCTGCAGTCCACACACCTGGAACTCTGAGCGGTGAGGGACTTGAGCACCATCTTATTTCTCAGGAATCCATGCAGCTCTGTTATCACAAAGGCTTAATACTTATTAGCCATGACTGGTGAGTGGTTTTTGTTTTTGTTTTTTTAGGTGAGTAGATGATAATTCTGACTGAGAGGCAGCTGAAATAGCCCAACAGGCTATAATCTACCTTCTGCTTCTGTTTGGAGCCATATCATATAAAAAGCAATAATATAAAACAAAAGAAACGTATTCAGCATTCTTGAGGTACACGTTTTACATGGTGATCATCTGCCTAGAAAATTAGGCATATGTTTATATTAAGGAATAGTGATTATAACTCTTTTTAAGTGGGTATGAAAAACTAATTCTTTCATATGCTCAAGATCTTTTGCTTTTTCTGTTGAAATAAATTTGAAACGGATTTCTGGTAAAACATTTTAGCTTTTTACAAAATGATCAGAGGAAGAAAATAAGTGATTGAAAAAGTTTTCTCAGTATTTGCATTGTAATAAGGAAGAACTTTTTTTTCCCTGGGAAACCATAGGGTAAACTTTAATTTAAAGAATATTTAGTTACCTCACTAGGACATAATTGGGAAATACTGTTACTGAAAATAGTCATTGTAAGAAAAATATTTAGCTCTGGGTTACAGCAAATTGGCAGTATTTCTAAGAATTCAGTAGTCAGTTAATGCAGTTTTAAAACTGCTTACATGGAACAAAAGAATCAGCAAAGAATTGCTGACTCATAGTAATATTTTATGTGGGAATTTATGTAGTTGAAGACTTAGAAAAATGGTACAGGTTCTGATTATATCTAGTTTTGTGTTTATGAGTTTTGTTGGCAGTGCCAGGGATCAAACCCAGGCTCTCACACATGAGACAAAGCAAGCTCTCTTGCTTAGCCGTATTTACCTTTTATTAGTAATCACTGTTCAGATTTAAGAGGCAAAAGATCAAATGGCTGAGTCGGACATCCTGAACAAGTATTTCTACCATAAGTGGTGCATATACTGTAATCATGTTCTCTGTTTTTTAAGTAGTGTTTATGTTCACTTTAGCTATAAGGTGATCTCTAAACATGTCCAACTTAACTATAAGGGACTCTGATGAAGAATTCAACAATATTTTAAGATGTGTTAATTTACTTTCTGGCTTGTATTTTGAGGACGTGCTTTTTTCATATTTCTGTTTTAATGTTTCATTATGTTTGGACTTTTTCTTTTTTTTCTTAACAGGCCTTAGGCTACTTTCAAAGGGCAGAACAAGGTAACTTAAATTTACATACTGAAATAGATTTTTAAAAGTACAAATGTATTATGTATTATAGAAATTTAAAAAACAAGTAGTAGTTACCCTACATTATAATTATACCACGTTAACTTACACTACATTTTTATACTATGTTCTAAAGTAATTTGTCAAGTTTTTTTCTGTAATTATCACCTGAGTAAGAAATGGGTTATTACTGGATTTAGAACCATGATCCTGGAATAGCTCTTCATTTAATGTAGAATTCAGCCTTTCTTTTTTAGAAGAAAGAAGGCTTCAGCAGTTCAGCTTTCTTATTCAAGATTACAGTGCCAGTTAGAGGCATCAAATGAAAATTCTGGTTTTAAACCAGGTCTGTGTTGGTTTGTTATGTTACTTTTTTTTTTTTTTTTTTTGTGAAGAAGAGCTTGTCATTCTTGCTTTGAAGAAATAGCGTTTAGAACTATCACCAGCACTTTCTAAGTTTATCTTTTTTGTTAGGGCCTGGGGAGCCTTTATGTGTCCTGTGCTCAAGGTTTACTCTGAGCTCTGCTCAGGCACCATTCCTGATGGTGTTGGGGGGCCTATGCACAGGCCCAGACCCGGGCCAGCCACATGCAAGCTAGCACCGTCCAGCTGTATTATTACCTCTCAGGCCCTGTTTATTTTTTTTTTAATATTAATGGCACAAACTGTATAGAAAGGTACATAAGCATACTTTCAAGTAAATGAAAATTGTAAGAAAACAACAGTGCTTATCAAATTTAATATCGTACTTTCATAAACTTCTTGAGGTGTTTTAGAGGAAGGAATTGTCTTTTTTTTAAAAATTTTTTTTAATTGAGCCACCGTGAGCTAGTTACAAAGCTTTCATAACGCATTGTCTTTTACAGGAATCACCCTAATATTGTTGGGACGGGCAGGGTCAGTCCCTCCTTGAGCCACGTGGTGCTTGGGGTGTCTGATGATGCCAGAGACCAAACTCAGGGCCTGCACATGTTCTTTCCTTAGTTGTCTCAGTGACCCGAGCAGGACACTCAGAGTGAACAATGGTGTCTGAAGATTTGCTCTCTCATAGAATGCCATTGATACATTCTCCTGATGGTAGTTTTAATCTGGAATAAAAATACCTCAAAAGTAGGGCTTTAGAGGCTTATGGTGGGGGTGGAGATAAACATGGCCTTGTGTTCTCAGTAATCCAGTCATCCTTCAGGTTTCCCCTCAGTGGTCACTTCCACTAGGTCACCTTTTCTTAATGGCTCATATCTGGTTTCTAAGTTTCTTCCTAAGCTCCTAAGTAAATTTTACTTCTCAGTCATGCCGTTCACAGCTCTACAGTCTAAATGTATTTGTTTACACATCTAAGACTAAATTCAGGGAAGATAGGAACTTTTTGCTCACAGTTTCAATGCTTAGCACAGTGCTTGGCTTCAGAGGCTGAATAGCATGGAGGAAGGGTGAGGGGAGATACTCCCAGGGAGACCTTAAATCCAGCAACATGGTATCTCCCCAGTATGTTAACTAAGGAAATAAAGACTTTTGGGCTCGTGCAGTTACTGATTAATCCTAAATTTTTCATAGACTTTTTATTCACCTTTTTTTACTAAGATGTTTCTTACCTCTCTGTTGAAATCCTGTTATTCAGTTACCAAGTCAGCTCAGGTGTATGTAACCTCTTAGAGGTTTTTTCTTTGGTTTCTAACAGCAATTTAAAGTTTATATACCTCGCAAGCTTTATGTATTACTTTTAGGAGTGCCTATGTTTGTCTTTTCTCATTATAAAGTATGTAAATGTTACATATTCCAAAGATCACAAAACTTACTTTATCAGAACTTAATATACCCCATATTCAGTTAATGTTGATCAAATATACATATGCATATATATGTCATGCTGATTTCTTCATTTACCCAGCGAAAGTATAGTTAATGTATATTTTTATGTTCTAGGCACTAGAGGATACATCAGGACACAAGATAGAAATTAATGACAAATCCCCTAAACAAAAGATTCCTGTTGCTAGGGAACTTATATCCTCCTACAAGCCTTACTTCACATGTACTAAATGAAGAAACCGATTTATAAAATTGTTGTGAAAAAGAGAAATATGTAACAGAGCCTCTCACATAGTAGACATTAAAATGCAATCATGTTATTATGCATAGCCTTTTTTTTAAAGGTATGAACAGCCAAACAACAGAAAACCTAACTCATTTATTGGTCAGCGTGTTCATTTATTGGTCATGCAGGTTATTTAAAAAATGACAGATTAAAACATTCAACCTTTAAAAATAAGAGCAAGAGCAAAACTGTTTCATCTGGAATAAATGAATTTCTTTCTTACAGTGGACCCAAACTTCTACAGCAAAAACTTGCTTCTTTTAGGAAAAACGTATTTGAAATTAAATAACAAAAAGCTTGCTGCTTTCTGGCTAATGAAAGCCAAGGACTACCCCGCACACACAGAGGAGGACAAACAGGTAAAACGTGGCCCAGAGAGTAAGGCAGTTGGGTTTCATGGAGGCACTAGGGAGTGTTAACTAAGAGCTTCTTTCAGAACATAATTTCCAAATGCATATTATTGAATAAAAGTTTTCATTTCACATGTGAACTCATTGTTATTTCCATACAGCAAATGTCTTTTCATGATCAACAGTTTAATATTATTTGCTACAATAAAAACTTTGACAAGTAGATTTGATCAAAAAAGTTTTTTCTAAAACAAAAGGAATTTGAAAGAGTGGGAGGTGTTTTTTCTGATCATTTTAAAGACAGTTGATTCTTTGTGAATGTGTGGTTTGTTTTGGGCCACCCCAGAGGTGTTCTGGGAGTTTACTCCTGGTTCTGCATTCAGGAAATCACTCCCGGTTGGCCTGGAGGACCATACATGGTGCAGGAGCTCCAACCCGTGTGATGTCTTCTGCATTCATGGCAAGCACCCTGCCTGCTCTATTATCCCTCCGGCCCTAAGAAATGTTATTCTTACAGAATGCTTTCATGGTTTGGGGAGACTCTTAGAAGCCACAGTGGACTTGATGAACTTAAATTTTTGTAGCTGACCGCTGCTTTCCTGTTTATTCATATCATGTATTTTTTCCATTTTAGATACAGACAGAAGCTTCTCGGTTGCTTACAGGTTTTGGTGACAAGAATTGAGACTTTACAAAGAAGAAATCACACAGAATATCATATTACCCTTACCTTTGTATCAAATTTATAAAGTTAATATATTAAATGTAATTGTTCTATGATTGTCTTCTCAGTTCTTTAAATGCTGTGACTGTTGACCAGATATAGTACATAAAATTATATGTTTCTTCATCGGTAAAGCAAAGTAATTGCCATACGAATGGCAGAGGTATCCCCATGTCTTAGAGGCAAATATTCTGTGTTTTTAAGGACAGTAGCAACACTGATGGATTCATTTCTAAGGGTTAAGTACATCGAGATGGGAGCGGTCGGGAGGGCTGGCTTTGTGGAACGTGTCCGTTATGGAAGAGCGCATGTCAGGTTGGATTGATGATGGTGGAAGAAGTTCAGGGTTTTAAGGGTTGGTATAAAGTAGTTGAAAGATTTACCTTGGAGGCAACCTGCATAGGGAGAGAACAAAAGTGGAGTGGTTTCCTTCTCTAAAAGTGGGTTTGGTTTGGTTTGATTTCACTAGACAAAGTGCCATTTTCTTATACGAAGAAAAATGCATGTAAAAAAAATACAAATCGTCATGTTTAATGCCACTTTTTGGGGCCCCTTACCCTTCTGTCTTCATCTCACACTGACATTTTGAAGAAGCCAGCCTAATTTTCTTAAAACACTGCCCCTCATTCCAACGGGTCTTTTCTTGATGCAAGACCTACCAAATGTCCTGAAGAGTCCAGGGACTGTGCCGAGCTAGACCTGCTGGTTGACTGGAGAGCGCAGCGTTTGGGCCCAGTCCTGCGTTGTTGTGCAGCCCAGTTGGCTCCAGGCCCAAACCTCAGAGTGCCCAGAGGCTACCACTATCAGACCCAGAGTGCCCGCAGGCCACCTGCAGCCCTGCTCTGCTTGGGGAGGGGATGCGGGCAGTGTTGGGAGACCTCTTGGGCTGCAGGCATGCTGGGTGTGCGCTCCAGCTCCATGAGCTTTGGCCTGCGCCGCCGACCTGGTGGTTAGGGACTGACCCTGTGATGCTGGGCGTGGAGCCCTGGGCTTGTGTTGGAACACATGTGCCCCGGCCCTGTCAGCCATGCCCAGAGCCCCACACTGGCCTTCTTAGTCACACAAGAATCACTTTTATGGCTTCTTTCAGGGACTCTGGGTCTCAGCGATAGCACAGTGGGTAGGGTGGGTAGAGCATTTGCCTTGCACGAGGCTGACCCGGCCAACACCGGTTCGATTTCTCCACCCCCTCGGAGAGCCTGGCAAGCTACCCAGAGTATTGCGCTGGCAGCGCAGAGCCTGGCAAGCTACCCGTGATGTATTCGGTATGCCAAATACAGTAACAAGTTTCACAAGAGATGTTACTGGTGCCCACTCAAGCAAAATGGTGAACAGTGGGTGTGAACAACGATGTGCAGTGCTACATCTTTTGAGGGGGCGGGGTAGGGGTCCGGCAACTTTTTTTTTTTTTTTGCTTTTTGGGTCACACCCAGCAATGCTCAGGGGTCACTCTTGGCGGTGACCATGTGGGATGCCGGGGATGGAACCCGGGTCTGCCACATGCAAGGCAAACGCCCTACCCGCTGTGCTCTCTGGCCCGGGGGTCCAGTAATTCTTGCCCCAATGAGCTGGTGAGTCAATGCAAGGGTTAAAGGATATGATGCTGCTTTGACCCTTCAGTGCCTGCAGTACTTGAACCACACTGGCAGTGGTTGAAGGGGCCGCCAAGGCTGCACCCTAACCATTGCACTGTCTTAATAAATGCCAGGCAGGCGCCTTGCCTGCTGTACCATCCTGCCCCCTTATTGGGTGTGACTAAATAACACTGGCCCCCAGGCTCAGGTGTCTGTTCTCAAGCCAGGGGATTGGGTAGGACAGTGTGGTGGACAGGGATGAATGGGGGCCTCCTGTGTGCAAAACTTCGCCCACACCCACTGAGTACTCTCCTGGCTCTTTTGTTTTTTAATCTTTTTAAATTTTTTGGCTCTTCATCTGTCTCACTTCCATACACGTAATCCATGTGTTGAATCTGTTTTCTGTGGTATTTCTGGTCTTCACTGCTGAGACTTTTTTCTTTTTGGTGCTTTTCTATAATTTTGTGCCAGATTACAGAAGTGACAATATCACATTTCACATCTTCATGTTATTTGTGCATTTGTTTTTTTGACAGCTGCAATTATTTATCACAGTCACGGTCCTCCCGTTATTCATCGATTTGTTTGAGCGGGCCCAGTAACGTCTCCATCGTGAGACTTGTTACTGTGTTTGGCATATTGAATATGTCATGGGTAGCTTGCCAGGCTCTGCCGTGCGGGCGAGATACTCTCGGTAGCCTGCCGGGCTCTCCGAGACGGACGGAGGAATCGAACTCAGCTCGGCCATCTTGGCTGCGTGCAAGGCAAACGCCCTACCCGCTGTGCTACACATTTTTTTCTTTTGCTTTGTGGGTCACACGCAACGATGCACAGGGGTTACTCCTGGCTCTTCACTCCGGAATGACTCCTGGCAGTGCTCGGAGGACCATATGGGATGCTGGGAATCGAACCGGGGTCGGTTGCGTGCAAAGCAAACGCCCTATCCACTGTAGTATCGCTCCAGCCCCTTACATTTGATTCTTATTAGCACTGTGTAATACATATTCTATCGCCTCCATATATTGAACCCTTTACCTGAAATTTTCTCATTCTGAATTTTCCTTGCAAAGTAACTGAATATTCTTTTCTGGAGGTGTGATTTGTGCAAGAGATGAAAAGAGACAGTAGAAGAGTTATTTAAGAGATGATCCATCGAGATTTGGGAAGTTTGGGTCAACTCAAAGACTCTCTTCTACCAAGTAGTTTTGTAGAATGAGCAAATTTTAAGTAGTAATGTTTTTTGTTTTGTTTTTGTGTAATAGTGGTGCTCAGAGCTTACTCCTGGCTCAGTGCTCAGAGATCACTCTCGGCAGGGCTTGGGTACTATATATGATGGTGGGGACTGAACTCACATTGTGCTTGTGCAAGCAAGGCACGTTACCTGTCCTACTCTCCAGCCCTAAAAGTAATGCCCTTTAAGGAGAAAGGATCTGTCTTCTGACCTTTACAGAGCATTTAAAAGCATTTTTGCTTTTACATGTCCCTCCCAAAAAGCCGAGGTCCAATGTATTCCTCTCCCCCAGTTTGATTTATATTACAATTTTAAAGCCGTGCATATTGGTACAGTACATAGAACTTACTCAGATTTTAATTTTAAATGTTCTCACTTATCTCTGCAGTTCAATGTAGTTTTAATCACATGGACATTTTTGTAAATGTCACCACAAAATCAGCATACAGAACTGTTTCTTCAGTTTCTTAGGGGGCCGGAGAGGTAGTACAGGGGTTAAGGTGCTTGTCTTGTATCCTGACAGCCTGGTTCAAATCAGGCACCATGTATGGTCCCCCAAGCACTGCCAGGGGTCAGTCCCTGAGCATCACAAGGTACGGCACCCCACATTACAAAGTACTTCAGTGCTACACACCATCCACTGGCCTTCCTCACATCCCCAAACCTGGCAACCACTCCAAGTCTACTTAGAATTCGATCATTTCAAGAATGTCATAGAAATGAAACACTCTGCTAGGGGACCTTTTGAGATTTCTTGGTTTAGCATAATTTCTTTAAAAATCTGCCTTAAGGGTTGACCCAAATATGACCCATATATAGCACCACATGTGTCTCCTGAGTACCACCAGGAGTCACTCCTGAGCAGAACCAGAAACAGTCCCTGAGCACTGCCAGTTGTGGCCCCAACTTTACTTTCAGTTATATTCTAGTCCTTTCTTTACTGAATGTATTTTATAAAGTGCCAATACATTTAACCATTCATGGAAGGGCATTTCGATTTTTCCGGGTTTTGGCTGTCATGAACACTAGACACAGGTTTTGTCAACATTAAAATCATCTCTTGTGGCAGATGCCCAGAATTCTGCTTGTTGGATCCTTTATTGAGCGGTTATACACTTCCCATGCCCCCTGTGTCCCATCACTCTTTAGAGGCTATCTGTTTTTTATGACATAGTGCCTTCCTAAGAAAGAGTCTGATTCCAAGTCTCTTCGCATCACTTCTGACTTGGCAGGATTCTGATTCACCCAGTCGGCACATGGCTCTTTCCCCATTTCCTTGCCCAAAATGAAATTTGCTCTAGGAACAAACCATAGAACTCCACTGAATTTTCCTTCTCACACAGCCCCACTCTGTTCCTCTGTGTTTTAAATTTAGAGTGGACTACTAGTTTCCCCCACAAACATGTGAGAAGTTTTAAATTGTTTCCTGATCATATTGCAGACATGGGCTCTGGGTGACTCTAGGGTTTTATCGAATATTTAGTTTTGGGCATGTGATGATAAAAAGCAGACACTCAACACAAGGAGTCTCAGACAGGGAATTCCTCTTAATATGGTCTCGGTTTCTCACCCCAAAGAGCAAATCCCCTGTTGATGTACTATTCGCCATGAGATTCTTTTAGGCTCATGCAAACGTCCACTTACTAAGTCAACAATCGGGTAATTTGGTACCAATTTACTCCTACGACTCTAGGGAAGGGCTCACTGCTGAGCAGCCGGTCAAGTCGGCCCTGTTTGCATTCTTTAGAATTGACCAGTCTTGGTAGTAAAACATACAAATCAAGAACGTCTTCTAGCAGTGATGCGTTTCTGCCTTCTGGAAGCTTTAAAGCTGTAATTTACTGTTGAGTATCCAGAAACTCCACGGTGCAGATGCAACCTGCAGTCATTTTTCTACGTAATATGGACAATATTGTTGACATTCACTAACCAATCTAATTTCAGCATAAGAATTTTGGAAGTCTGCAGAATAAAAGACCTCCTTAATCTTTCAGTCTTTTAACTGTCTAGGAGTTATTAAACAAAAAACACTTGTAGTTGCTTCCTCTGGTAACTGACTAAATTGATGACATTTGTGTTATTCCTGTCATGTTTCCCCAGTTCACTGATTACTGATGTGATGGGGTGTTGCAGAAATGAAATGATGGTACCACCCTGTCTTACCCCTCTGCAGCACAGCAACCCTTGCACTTCCAGCTTTCCTGTGGCTAGACCCAGCACAGAACAGAGAAGAGATGTGAGCCACAGTACT